ATCCGACAAAGCAAAGGGAGACCGGAATGGCCATTTGTGTTTGTTAGTCGTCATCACCCAGTCATACCAAATCTCAAGGGTTTGAACCCTCGAGATTCAAATCTAAGACCTTTGGTCATTGAGTTCAATACTCTGCCTCGGCACCATGGACTCTAATTTTGAGCTCCTAAGCGAAACGGAACTTAATTTTTCCTCTACCAGATTGGCGAAGCCCGTATATCCATCATATTCCCTATCTAAACCGACAAAGTAACGAGCCAGTGGTGCCTAGATGTGACCCATGTTACAGAGATGGGGCACGTGTTCAACTCTGATGCTGTTGAAATTGTGGGCTGAGGGGTCAATCATACATAAAGGCAGATTAAACAACCTGGGTGTTAGTAGATAATCGTCACCCGCATGCAGCTATGCGGTGGGTCAGGAAATAGTCTTCGCCCGCATTGCATCGCGCGGTCGGTGGTGTATAGGCTACCATCTTTTCAATGCTTCCCTAAGCTTGGTGTACATAGCGTCCATTTTGACATGCCTGTTGACGCAAGAGTCATCACAGTTGATAGCCTCTCGAAATTCGCGGCGTTTCTTCTATGCACAAGAGCCAACAATGTATGCTTCTTCCCATGCAAATTGGTGTCCAGTTTTTAATTTTTTTATTTTTGCCTGAGAATTTGACCTTCAGTTGCAGATGCAAATGGGCAACACACAATTTTCATTGATGCATCAGTTTAGTCTAGCCTAAAAAACTCAATTGATATTTCGTTGATACGCAAAGCACATAATGAGGCTGGCAACATGACAGGACAAATGACGATGGGGATGCCTTTATGACCTGCCAGTTTATTTCTATTTCAAATAATTGTCTAATTTTGGTTTTTCAATAGACGGTTTCGATTTCGCTCATTCCACCTTCAAAGTTGCATAGGTTGGAGGTTGGCCTTCGCCTATACCATCTCAGCCTCCTGTTTTGGGATGGCTACTAATGTTGCATTCACTATAGTTTCCATTCCCTGGGTTTCGTTACGTAGGGATTACAATAGGATTGGTATTAACTATCCCCTTAATGCGCTACTGCTGTCTGATTCTGAACTGGAAAGTAACCCACCACTAAAAAGTGCATACCTATCTGAATAATTGATGAGGCCTTACGGGGTCTTCTGTTCATTTCCTTGTTTTGGTTTGGCGTCCATTACTTCCATAACGCTGATATTACAAAACCGGGAGCCACTGGAATTGTATCGTAATTGGCCTGGATCGTGTTATAGGTCTAATTTATTCATTTTACTGAATTTTTTCGCCAGTAGGGTTTGACGATTTCTTAAAATTTCGTTTAAGTAACGTTAAAATAAGGCCTGGTGTTTGAATGATTTTGTCCATTCTCTTTCAAGGAATCCTATGGTCTTTTCTCCTCCTTGGTACTTCTCCCATATTAATCCCTATTTCTACGGCTTCCGTTTTGAGCAAATGTGCAGCCATTCAAGGCATCGTGGTTCAAATAGGTGTATTAAATTGACAGCATCCTTCGCGAGTTGGTTGCTCTCTAATGCATGCTCCTGTTGACGGATTGAAATGAAGCTATAAAATTCACTTCGAAATTTATTTTGAAATTTCACTTGCTTCAGCCGGGCAAAGTCTATGAGAAGACCACCGACCGCGGCAACACCATAATCTACGAACACAAACAGGGATTTTGGACTCTTTCTGTGCAACCAATGCAGTTCTGGCTTTTATTTGACCTTGAGCAAGGCGTTCTGCGCGTCAGTGCCGGACGTTATTGGCACGGCCGTTTTATGGGCCTGCTCCGAAGCAATGACCTTGAGATCGCCAATGACAGAGTTCGGCTCGGAGAAGAACAAACTTTCGATAATTTCAGTTCCTGGCGCACTTCGTCGTCTCTGGAACTGGAAGTAAGTACGGTTAAGTTGTTTCTAGCTAGGTTTTATGAACAGAGATATAACACCCGAATCCATTTAGGAAAAGAGGACCATGGATGCATCGGAAGTCAATCAAATATTCAAGGAGCCTTTGGAACGCATACCGGCGTCGTATAGAAAACGATTTATTAACCTCGCAAAAGCCGGATCGCAAAGTCAAAATGACACAAACATCTCCAGTGCTCACGTTTCCAGAGTCCTTTCTGTTTTAAATAGACTGGGAGAGGACAAATATCCTTCGGTATAATTACTTTTCTCAGCCGTGAGTTATTGATTTTGAGCGTATAATTCTAATTCTTACATCACTTGTATTACTTCAAAAACAACCGCTTCCTTTGTTTTGTCTGTTCCATAATGTACGTTTTTCAAAAAAAATATTTTTCTCACCTAGGAATTCCTGCCCTGAAGTCTTGTCTATCGAGACACAAACTCAAGAAGGCGTTTCTTAATGAGAAGAAAAATCTCAAATACAAACTTGATTGACGCTTGTCTCTCATTAAACCGCTCATGCGCGCCTCTTGCGAACTACAAACATTTCAGTAAAAGTCGTGCTTTAATTTATGCTATTTTTCTTGTCTTTTTAATTTTACTTATTTATTTAGTTTGTTTTGGGGCATTTGTCATTACTCCTTTCATGGATGCTTCCTACTTGCGAAGGTTGACATGCACAGAATGGTATGATCGACAGATTGTAAAGGTCTATTACTTTAGTTGCTCTATAATGATGATATTTTGAGAAATCTCTCGTTGAAAGGCACCCTTCACAACACAATGAAGGGAATATAATGAGGTTATCATAGGTTAAAACAAATTGGCAAAAAGAAGATGGTTTGCATATTCAGGCCGTAAAACATAATAGGCCATTGCACTTGAGTAACTGTTTAAATTGTAAGTTTGACATCACCGTGGCGATATTAACTGTATTTTATAAGTGAGGACACGATAAACACACAAATATTCCATTCAATCTACACATTTTCTTTGTCATAGAAGGTGACAAACGAAATTCCAATCGCTGAAAGGCTAAGTCAGGGCCTGAATTGGAGATAGAGCATGTTTTATTTTGAAGGTAATATCCAAAATTTGCAGCAAAAGATGGCTTCGTTCACGGAGAGCAAGGGATAAGGTGAGGTAAGGGGTCATGATAAAAGGTCAAAGGCGAAAGTTCACAGAACACCCATAGTTAAAGGTTTGCACGATACCCACATCTGTTATGGAGACAGGGTGGCTTTCAACTTCTCAATTTCCGTTTCCTCACACGTGAAGTAGCGTGCTAAGAATGGGAGTTCAGAGTGCTGCTCTGCCGATGTACGGCAAGAGAGACGAGGGAAGCTTCGTCGTATAGTACGGGAAGACTTCGCAGCCATTAGTTCAGGGTGGAGAGGGTGAGCAACCTCACTATCGATACGACTAGCAAATTGCTTGACCGTTTTAAAGTGGCCCAGTACTATAATGTCAGCTAAAAAACATAGGAAACACCGGCAGCTGAAGAGAGCATTCAGAGGATACGTTTAAGAATGACCAAGTCTTTTTTAAGTAAACCTGGAAAAATAACTGTAGAGCAGTGAAGAATGAGGGGGAGAATGCGGGCATTTATAAACCATCGGATCAGTGCTTGTGGTGTGCGAAATGAACGCAAGCGACGGATATAATATAAAAGCTTATGGATTTTAATAAAAAGGCCTTCTATATGAAGAGCAACTGAGAGATTGGATGCAAAATAACACCAAAGTATCGGAAAGATGGTACCTCGTTGGGCAGAATGTAAATAGTTTCAGGACTGGGAGAGGGTTGCAGTCAAAAAATACACCGGAATGACTTCCGTTCTAAAGAAGACGAAGACGCAATCTCTGGAACGATAGTTTTATTCTGAGCTTTC